AAAGAGGACAAAGACATAAACTAGAAGTAACAGACTTGTCTTTGTGTTGTGTATTCATGAACCAGTCCAGTGTGGATAACATCTTGAATAAACATAATCTCCTCATTCTGTTCCTTCAGTGTTCATAATACCAACAACACAGCCATGTCTCATTGTGTACAGGCTCACATGTCCTCCTCATGGACTCGTGACCTCTGCTGGCCTGACAGGTGACAAACTCATTCCCAGTCCACCATCACCGGCCACTAAAAATACATCACTGAGTGTTTAAAACCGTCCTGTCCAGCGCTAGAAACAAATAATTATTACACTCCATTCCTTTCGATGGCATCCAAAGTGCGTTTCATTCTCTAATGAAGACTGAAAATTGCAACACATCGAGCGAAAAAAGACATCCGCTGGTTAATTGAATCATCACGGCTGAGCAGGTTTGAGATTAATTCCACGTAAGGAGAAGATCAAAAGCGAGCCAGTCAGAGGGATGTTGAGGGGGATAAGAGCACTGAGGCTTGTGGGATAATCCCATTAAGAGCTGCACATTCATTCAGAATGAGGATCCACAGCTGTACAGCGTATGAGAGATTAGGGTTGAACAGTCAGTGATGGAGAGGGGTCACACACAAACCCCTAATCTCACAGGTTTAGAACATTGTGCTGTTTTATTCCGTGCTCTCTGAATTAAGCCTTTTAATTATGAACTGAGCATCGATCAACCAAAGCTGTTTCAGAGTTTGTCTCTGGAACAGATTGGATTACAAAAAAAATAAGAGAAATGCATGCGTCACTGCTTAATACTGATTGCCAAGAACACATTTTAATACAGTGGAAAACACATACGTGTTCACATTTACACACATGTATCGCTGCAGAGTAAATCTTCTCCGACTGCACTGGAAGGATCTGATCTAAAATTAGCCTTAAAGTGTCTATTTGTAGTGAATATTTCTGCGCTAACGTGGTGGAAGCGATTCACTTTAACATCTGCTACAGAAACAAGGTCACTCGCTCCACGTCCACATGACAGCAGGGATTTCATCAAACCATCAAAACCAAATACCATCAATGAAGGGCAGCAAAAGCCTGTAACTGAAGACATCTTCTGGTGGAAATCATTTCTTTTTTACTCTGTTAACATGTCCATATTGTGTTTTATATGATTGAAGTCACATTATGAGCAAAACAATTCACACCACGGCTATTTTATGACAAAAACAGTAGTCAGACCTCTTGGGTTTCATAAAAAACCTAAGGGACCAATCTTGTAAACCTGCAGGGTGGAGGTTTATGGAACAATATCCTTCATTTTGATTGAAAAAAACATTTAAATATTGTCATCCTGACACATAGAGATGTGTTTTTAGGGCCTCAATCAATGACCAGAAAGGACCTTTGAACACAACAGTCATTGGTATGTTAACATGCTCACCAATGCTGCTGATGTTCTGCAGATATAATGTTTACCATGTTCTTATTCTTAGTTTCTTGTCTGCCGGGTCTTCTTGTTATGCTAGCATTTGCTAATTAGCATCAAACAGGAAGTACAGGTATCGTTGTTGCAGACTTGGTCATAAACCAAAATCGTTGACGTGTGAAAGTTTGAACCAGACGATGTTGAGGACTGAAAGTTAAAGAATCGGCAAAGTAATACAAATTCATCCTTTTGGCAATTTTTGAATTTTGCACAAAAAGGATGGAAGGTTTAGAATATATGACGGCTATTAAATAATGAGACTAATGTTGAGATTGAATTTTATCCAAGGGGCTGTTAATGCTGCCAACTGATCAATCTAAACATGGTTCGACTCACATATGCTCAGTGACGATACAACACTTAACAATCCCATCTTGTATATTTTGCTTTGGATCTGTTTCAGGCTTTAAACTGTCTTCTAAACGGTTCTACAGGTTCCTGCTGTCGTCATGCTGCCTCATGGTGACGCTCCATCATGTATGAAATCGATTACACAATGAATACTGGGCTGAAGCTTGACTTTTCAAATGTTATGTCGCAAATAAAATTGCACAGAAAAGTATTTTCTCCAACTCTTCCAGCCTTGATCTGTGTCAGATTTAATAACAATTCATCCAACAGTCATTGAGACTAAAGCAGTGTCACATGTCTGGGTAGAAAATCAAGCTTTGAATCTTTTTTTTCTTGATCACAGCCAAACGTTGTTGTACATGAAAGCTGCAGGTATGTAAATGCAAACAGCTTCTCTTTTCTCAGCCCTAAAGGGAAAAGCAGTCCTGTGGTTTTTGGGGTAAAATAGATGGATCCTACAGAAACACACGATCAAACACCGAGAGAAAACGCAGCTCTATAATGACGCTAAAGAAGGCTCAATAAAACAGAGTGACTTACAAAAGCAGATCTTTAAAAATGTGCTTCATCATGCAAGTCATATTTATTTTTTTTAAATTCTCAAGGCAATATAAAGAGAAAGACAGCAGGGGTGTAAAACTGATATTAAATCAGAACAACGGAGAGGAGGTCTGAAATTAATGTATCACAGGTTTTCAGAAAAAATGACTTAATAAAAAAGAGGAAATCCACCATCGTTTATACATTTGAGATGAATAAAAATAAATATGGTGCGATCAAAGCCAACAGAATTAGGCCATGAAATAAAACATGTGGCAAACACAATACAAAATACTTACTGACGGCATTACTGAAGTAGGACATGTTCATTAAAGTGGTATTTTTACAGTGAGACGGGTGAGTGTGTGATTGCGTGTGTGTGTGTGTAATATGTGTGTGTGTGTGTGTGTGTGTGTGTGGTCTCATTCTACAGAGCAGAAGTTATCCAGATTGTTCTCTCTGGTCTTGGGAAGCTCGTTGTTCTCCAGTAGTCGGTACTGGAAGGACACACGGTTGACGAAGTTCCCGCTGGACACCAGCCTCACCACCGAGTTATCACAACCGATCTTCATCTGGGCTGAAGGCGCCACCGGGACGGAAACCCAAAGAGAAAAACAGACAATTAACACTGGGGCACTTCCAGCACCGTTGCTCTCTAGACTGCCAATGAATGTACAAGATTAATGTTCATTTAGTTATAATTGAAGTCTGTTTTTGTTCTTTTTGCATGTAGCACAACATACTAAACACGTATCGTGAAGAAGAACAGGATTCAAAATGTAGGAATTAGTCTTTTATAAGTGAATTAAAGTGGTTCGACCCTACTTCTACTACAAACACAGAGGACTTTTATGACAAAGCAAATAGGGGAAACTATAAATGTTTGCCTTTGTCATGTTAACATCAGGTGGACTATTTGGTGAGGACAACATGTGGGATGCTATTATTCTGAATGACTCATCTATGGCATAATATATGATAATTGCTAATAATGGTTATACTCTGAAGTGTCCTCGTCATGAGACGACCCTGGACACTGCGTGGGACTATGACAGGGAGATACACGTCAAAACACGTGGTGATAAACTGGGTAGGTTTCAGTGAAGATCAGGATTTAAAGATAGCATAGCATAGCGCTGTATAACACAATACAGTGCTGCGATTTCCACAGATTCATACTGGATAAGGGTGAAGGGGATCGGTGCAGACTCACCGAGCCCACTGTGGGAGAAGCAGAGGTCAGCTACAGGGAACATCTTGGAGGTGTCGACCCCGTTCCCTCCCAGCAGCTCCACGTAGTCGCCTGACCCTGAGCAGCCCGACCAGAGCTGTCTCTGGAAATGAAAAAAAGAAAGAAAGAAAAAAATTTACCAAACCTGGATCGGACGTTGCCATTAAAAACTGGTCCCTGTGGGTTCGGCCAGTGGTGGTGCAAAAATGTTGACAAAGCAGGTCCACGTTTGGCTGATGTCCACTACATATGCACTGTAAAAACAACTGGAACATTATGGCAGCTGCAGTCCCACAACAATACTGTAAAATAACTCATAATTTCTAATATTTCTCATAATTGTAATGATGCATTTTCTAGCATTTTAACGTCTATGGTTACAGTTCATTTTGGTAACTTCATTGATATTTTTGTGTGTTATCTATGACATATCAAGAAAAAAATCCATTAAATCAGTGCATGAAGAAACACTTGTGATGCTGTACATGTTCCTGCTGGCCTGACAAGCTTCAAGCAACTTCTGCGGAAAATATTTTGGCTCCTGAACTGCTAAAGGTTTGACTGTATTCACCTGCTCGCTGCTAGCAGCAAACAGCTGATGCAACAAACAACAGATTCCAGCAGCTTCATATATGTTTTGACTGAAGTGTTTTTCGTTACTACAATTCACACTGATTATAGCATCGCAGCTTTAGAATTCAATATAATTATTAATCACAAACTGCAGCGTTGAAGGCTCAGTCTTTGAAAGCAGCAGTCTGGTTCCGTCGCCTGTTTGCCAAACAAAACACTGACTTTTGGATGACTCTCCAAAAGCCTGGATTGCTTTCAGTGAAAATATTTTTAGAGGTTTGCTGCCAGTATTTTTTTTAGTTGACGGTGCTGTAATGTCAAATCAAATCAGATTTATTAGTTACACACACAGTTGCACATGGTGCAGTGGATAGTAAAATGTTCTGTGTAACCGATCCGGCTTGTGCTCACAAAACAGAGACAGAGGGCATAAAAAACAAAGAGCCTGTGTAGGTCCACACATACAATATGGATACGGTCAAATTACAGCGACTAAAACTTACTTGTTAAAGGAATAGTTTGGCATTTTGGAAAATGCACATAATTTACTTACTTGCCAAGACTCAGATAGAAAGAGTGATGGACCTCTAATGATTTTTTTTTATTTTTTTTTTTTTAAATAACATTAGACTTATTGCTGGAGAAAAATCTGGCTAGCTTAGCTTAGGATCAAATCTGTAAACAAAGTCAAACAGCTTTCTCTTTCCAAATGCAGGCTACAGACTGTCATGTTTACACCATAGTATTCATACAGATTAAACACACAAGATTTAACATGCTCATGTGTGCATCTTTATATGTGCTGAAGAGTGGATTTTGTTTTGTTTGCACAGAGCAAGTCCTGCAGTTTCCCCTCCTTTATTGTACAAAATTGCACTACCTGCTTCCTGCCTGCTTCATTTGTATCATGCAGAGAAGACCATGATAACTAGGTAATTTTACGTATATTTCCAAAAATTCAAATATAAGCAAATCTTACACCAATATATAGATTAAAATACATTTTAAAGTCAATGTGAAGCTGCTTAACTTCAGATACATTCATACATATATCTTGAATTTCAGCCTATTTTCTTTTATGAGCTTTTGCCTTTATTGAGCAGCGCAGTGAAGAGAGGCAGGAAAGGGGGAGAAGGATGAGGAGAGACCAGCAGCAAAGGGCCGTGGGTGGGAGTCGAACCCATGACCACTGCGTTGGGGTCTCTATAGCCCCTGTACATGGGCTGCCGTCTTATCCGGTTGAGCTACTTCAATTTTATACAGATATTTAACATGCTAAATTAGGGGAATGCTGTCATCAAAACAGACCAAAGTGCATCACATGGTTAAAGAATTAGCAAGCATGTCTGCCTTTATGAGATGAAAAGACGTCTCAAAGATGTAGATAATATAGCAGGGAGTTTGAACTCCTGTTGTTCTGGTTTTGTTTTGTCTTGAATGATAGCGCTTATGCTGGCTGTTGTTTGGTAGTGTACTTTGCTCTGTGTTCATATATGTTTTTACAAGGTATTTTGAAATCGAGTAACCCAGGAAGACTAGCAACTGCTGTGGCACATGCTACCTGGAACCAAACAAAAAAAAACCAAACATGTCAGAGAAAAGGGATACGCTGCCTGTTGGTCACTGAAATATACCATCTAGTTTAGTTCACTTCAGTTTTATTTCTGTAGCGCAAATTCATAACACATATAATCTCACAGTGCTTAACATAGTATGGTGCAGACCTAACAAATGTTGAACAGAACTAATCTATTGGGGTAATATGTGCAGCAACAATGAGTTGGTGAATGAATGTTTCAGGTGAACTGGATAAAACAAACTGTGTCCATTTTATTGTCACTATAGGTTCTTATTTATTTACATAAACTGTGGGTGACAGAATGATGATGGGATTAGTTTTCACCTCATGCTGATAGATGTTAATGCTGAACTGAAACTTACTGAAACTAAAATAAAATGACAGATGTTGAGCTATAACAATAAAATATTAGAATAAATTAATATATTTGTATGAGTGGTACACAGACAAACATGAACTCTCCTTACTGGCTTCCTCAGAACATCACTCTGTTAACTGAATCACAATAGTCAAACTAAAGTTTACTATGTCCTTGAAGTACCACTGTTCTGTCTAAGTGCATTATAGGTTTTCAATAGGAAGTGTCTTTCTCAGAAGCAGGGGGTTGTTTTCGTGTCTCTGTGTGTCCTACCTGTGGGCTGAGCTCATTGCTTTTGGCCTGCCCCAGGCTGAGCTCTGTCAGTCGGATCTCCACGGGGTAGATGATGGAGAAGCTGCAGTTCCTGCGCTGATGTGGCATCACCATGGTGAAGCTGCCTTCCGGACTCTGAGACATGATGTTACAGGCTTTGCACACAAACACACACACAGACACAAGTGCGCACACAAGGAGGAGAGGTTTCAAATTAACAGTTCCCCATCAGCTGAGAAACTCATTATTGACACCTCATGTCACAAATTGGACATAATCAAGGGTGACAGCATGGAAGGGACACAATTAGGACTGAGCATGGGAATCTAATTCCAGATCTGATGACAAAGATCAGAAAATAATGAAATTTGAATTGATAACAGTGTGGCAGAGTAAACAGGCAGCAACAGGAGTCGGAACACTTTAGTCCTGCGGGTGTGTTGTTCACTTAGAAACATCTGTGAGGTGAAGGAGGAGGGTCAATCCGTGAGTTTAAAGATCAGGTCAGCGGCTTTTATGGTTTCCTATGGACACAATTTTTCCATTTTTATGCCTATAACTGTCACATTTACAAAGGAACAGGATTAAATGAGCAAAAGTGGCAGTATTAATCCATCCAGCATATAACTTATATAACTTATACTGTATATATAACTTATCTTATTTTATATTTAAATCTCTTCTATTTTGTGTTTTTTGCTCTTTATTTTGTTCTTTATTCTATGTTGCACTGAAGGAGCTGCTCTTAATCTCATTGTACATGTGTATAGTGACAATAAAGGCATTCTATTCTCTATTCTATTCTATTATTGTATTGTTGTATACCTTTCAAAGTAGTTGAAATATTTGGCCAAGAAAAGTCTACACATTTACTGTTGCTCATTTATGCACTATATATATATACGTCACATCTTTGCTTGTAAAGTTAAATGATGCTTTATAATGTCCAGATTTACCAAAGTGCCACAGCAGGAGCTTTAATCAGACAAACTGAAGGGCCAAGACTGTGGACAGCTGCAGGTGATCATCTATATGTGGCTAAAACGTCACACACACCCGCCTGGGATTTATGCTGCCTACCTATAGATAATCCATTCAAACTCCCTTTTTTTTGTGTCAGTGCTCTTTCTTTGTCCGTCTTCGTCTTGTAGCGCGACAGTGATTGTTATGTTGCTTGACACAGTGTTAACACCGTGTTTGTCAAGCAGCTGGAAAACAGGTGCATCCCTCTCATTCAATCTCTTCACGTCGCTCTCGGCCTTGATTAATGCTCGACCGAGCACAAGCGTCCAGGACGGACACACATGCATGCACACGGGCAGGTACCACCAGTCCTGTCCTCATTTTAAAAATGCACATATAAAAACAAACACAAGTCTGGCTTAGATTCAAGGCTGTCTGCTTACAATTTAAATTTCTTTTATTGATGTTGCTTCTGTTTTGCTTTTAGACTTTTAGACCATGAATTGACCTCGGAGGGGGAGGGGAGACTCACGGAAAGGGTTGTGTTGCTTTTTGACAGCGAGAGTGAAGCCACTGTCGGGGCTGTGGATGCGAAAGAAGATCATGGCGACGTTCTGGGAGGAGCGGCTGGTGGCTCCCAGTGCTGTGGAGGCGCAGTAGTCTGTGTAGCGCTGGTGCAGAGGCAGGGGGTGGTCCTGACTGCTGGGGAACTTCTCCCCCTTCAGAACCCACCCATCGAACATCTGCAGGAGGCACATATCACATGGAGTAAATATAATAAACATTAGTCATGACACACAAAAACAATTCATGATTTTATAATGTTCAGGTTCTCTATTCAGACAATTAGAGTGTGGTTCTTATATTAACTGTCAGGTAATAAGAATCACACTCTACATGTCTGAATAGAGAACCTGAACATTATATTATCACTAAGAAGACATGATGAACGTTTTCGAGCTAATTCATTTTACTCCCTGTACTTTTAGTTAAAGATATCTTTCATATTACTTGAGGAAAAAGGGCCAAACGAATGCAGTTCAAGCATTATTTTAAATGAAAGATAGAAATTTGTATCAGGTGCAAAACCAAATAGTCAAAACCGTGCCAAAACTTATCATTTTGTGTAAGAAAGAAAAAGAAAGTACCTGAAAAGAAACACAGAAATACCATTTACAGGAGTCTTTAGACACAGCAGGATGTGATCATGATGGAAGTTTAACAGCTGGTTGGTTGACTTTAGATTAATATGATTTAAAATATATAAAACTAAGATAAAGTTAGCATAAGGCAGCATCACGTATCTCTCATATCACTTTCCTTTGGCTGTTCTATTGAAGGTTATTATTCCAGCAGCAGCATGTACACTGCTGTGTTATGACTCATATTTAATTACAAGCATAATCCAACAATCCTATAAATATTCTGTAAATCTCATTTATACAGATAGTGCGCTAAAATAAAAATAAAACTGATGTGGGGCTGTTGTTCTGTGTCGAGCGTATTCGTTCTACTGATGTGTGCAGGTCACACACACACACACACACACACACACACACAGCTGCTGTTGGTTTCTAGATCCCATCTTGACCCAGACTGTCAACCCCGTCGGTGTTATGAAATAACATCCCCAGTCTTTCCCTCCGTCGTGCCTTTTACCACTTGGGCCCACATGAGCTGAACTGGCAGGCTTGGCTTCAGAACTAAAGCCTTCTCTTCCCACACTTTGCTCTGGGTAATGTGACCAATGCAGAGAGGATCCATCCAGTGTGGTGTTTGGCCCTTAAACGTTGCCTTAACCTTGTTTGGCATCGTTTTAATCGAAGAGAGGGAGATTAAATAGAATTGGGGGTTTAAGTTGAAAAGCCCTCAACTTCCTGCCTTCCATTTGAGTTGGGGGGTGTGTGGGAGTTATTTCTGGCGAGTGGGCCGACCTTTATGAAGTCTCCAGCGCCGCAGTCGATGCTGACGTCAGTCAGCTCCAGACTGATAACTTCGCTGGGCTCAGCGATGATGAAAGCAGCACAAGCCAGCTGTGGTCGAGACGCCACGAAGGTGAAGTAGCCGTCAGTGGCCAGCATGTCCAAGCACCCTACAGAGCAGATGGACAGACAGTCAGGAGTCCAGCACTTTAGAGGACGATGCACTGACTTACCCTAAAGCTAACTGTAACAGCTGCTTAAACCTTATCCATAACCCCAGTGTCACTGAGTGCTGGACACACAACCTTTAAATATTTTTAAAGTAAAGAAAAGTGCAAAAGCAAAGTAAGCAAAAGTAACTGCCTCTGTACTTTACAACAAAAAACACCCAGAAGTCACCATCCACAGTCAGTATAAACATCTTTAAATATTAAACGTTTCAGGAACCTTATCCTAACCTTTAACCAAGTCTTTCTACTTAAACTTGTTGTTTGTCCCCACAAAGAAGGCAGGTCCTCATAATGTGAATATGTAAAGATGTTTAGGTCCTCAAAACACAGGTAATGTGAGAACAAACACACACACAAGTTACAACATGACTTATTGAACATATAAGAGACTCAGAAACATGAAGGAGTTGATCTTAAACTGGCCATAAACTTAAAGTGTGATGTGAAATGTTTTATCTGCCAGTGTGCAAAAGTCAGGAACAACATCTGCATGAATGAGAAGATGTCTGCATGAATTAATTAACCAATTAATGAGCTTAGTATTAAAGTAGCTGTATTAACACTATGCAGCAGTTCTCAGCAGACTTATAATAAAGTGCAGCTATAATGAGCAACAGAATAAAACCATTATTGTTTAAAGCAGTTCTTACTGAGAGGTCGGCGGAAAATAAAATCCTCTGATTCTCTTTTCTGGGCCAAACTGAGCAGAGAATATAATCCATCTGAAGCTTCGTAGTCCTGCACACACACACACACACACACACACAGAGAGAGAAGGAAAATGACAGGAACAGATTTCAAAAACTTTCCAGGCATCACTTTTACCCCCCCCTCTGACTGGATCGATAATCCCACTTAGCTTCAGCTGGACTGTGATGATTGTGGGTCGTACCTGGATGTAGCGGCTCAGTCCCGTCCTCCACGAGAGCGAGACGAGGAAGAGGAGCAGCTGAGCGCGCGGAGCCACCGACATGCTGCACGAGCGCTTCCTGGAGCTGAGGAGGAAGAATAAGGGCGCTGCTGCTGCGCGCCGCCGGCTTTTATAGCGGCACAGACGCACGGACGGACAGACAGACGGGCAGGCCTGCATCCGAGGGTCACTGACGAGCGACCGACAGCGATCGTGTGCGCGCAAAAGCAGCCGAAGCTTTTTAAACAAGCCCGGTGATGTGGAAACTGATCACAACAGCGTGTGATGTGGTTAAAAGTCAAACTGTAAATTACGTTTCATCAAACTGCTGCACAATATAACATCAGTTAGAGAAGCCAATAGAGAGTGGAGCCAGTTTTTATGAATGAAAAAACAAAAAGGCATGTCAATCTATTATTACACTTTAAATTTATGAACGCTCACATTGCAAAAGTTCATATTTCTGCTCTGATTTCTGGCGGTTTCTTAGTAAATAATGCATCAGATTCAACTAATTCAATCCCCTTTTAGATGAGGGATGAATCAGTGTTTAGTCAGTGTCAGTCATGAGTCAACTTTCCAAAATAAGGAAAGCTTTCAGTTTGGTTTCACTGTAAATCCAACGCTTGTGCCTGCAGAGCTGATAGTCAGAGTTTACTGTCTGTCACTGATCAACAGAGTGCCAGGAAGTCAGACATTCATATGTTTCATACAGTAAATATAACTAATATTGCATCGGTTAGCACATGAATATAGTCTTATTTTGTAGGAGATCAAACTGCTCCTTCCTTGGGTTCACTTCCAACAGCAGGAGCTTCAGACTCTATCAGGCGTCCAAACAAATAACTTACAGTGTCTGTGGGTGGGAAGCCAGTGAGGGATCGGGGAGGTCTGTGAAGTTTGGATGTGAAGTCTGTCTCAAAGCAAAGGAGGTTCTCTGACAGCACTAGTGTTGAGCTTTAACTCCCAGAAGGTATCACAGTGATTCTATTTCTGAACATCTCCATCATAAACCAATAAAATCAGAGAAGGAAACGTCCTGCTAACGGTTTAGACCGTCTCCTGGCTTCACCTAAACTCATGGGTTTGTACCTTATTTTCACCTTTTATCTCCTAACTTCTACACATCTGGGTTCGTGGCCTCTACATGGACTCGACCAATTTAACGGAGAGCGTTTGATTCGTTGTGTTGGCAGCGGCAAGACAGAAGACACATCTGCTTACTTTTTAAGAGCCTGCACCCATCTCCAAGTCACTCAAAGAGAAATGATGGATTTGTTCGGTTGTTCTGATGCCTTGTGCACCTGGAGGCTGAAATCAGGCAGGTGGGTGTGTGATAGTGTTTTTTTTGAAGAGACATTCACAACAGTTAATACTGGACCAGTGATTCTCCACCTGGGACATCTTCTTAAACCAGAGGATTAAGATGCACCGCTGCATCCAAAAAAACAGAAAACATGCTTCAACAAAACAAGAACAAACTGTGGAGTGAGTCATACGTTGCACAACAAGTAGAACAAAAAGGAGTCGGCGAGAGTGAGAGCGGCTTCGATGTAATTCAGTTTGCAGCGACATCGCAAATTCATTAAGATGAGACTAATTTTGGGTGTCCGTGCTGCCACTGCAAAAGGTCAAACCCCCGACGTGGCTGAGTGTAAGAGATGATGATGTCTGCATCCTGTTCATACACACATCTGACGCGGCAGCTCTCGCTTCCCCTCATTCATCGGAAATAAAGACTGTGTGTGCGATTATGTGGAGCTAACGACAGCTGACATGCTCTCATGGTGATGAAGGTCTGCACACAGGGCAACACAGCAAAAAGGAAGAAAAAAAACTAAACCCCAAAACAAACACAAATGAACAACATTTGGTCAAACAGCCCCTCAGTGCTGCTGACCTATTCGAGGTGTATTACTTTCATTTAAGAGCTCGTAGTCAGTGATAATAATTAGTTGTCTCACAGAGTCTTTGTGTTGCTAAGACGTCCGAGCCTATTAGCCGAGGCCTCGCTGCTAAAGTGTGGTTGGCTAATGTGAACGACAGCAGAGGAAGAGGAAAATGTTAGAAAAATGTGACATGGTGTGTGTGTGTGTGTGTGTGTGTGTGTGTCCCTTGGCGATTTCACACAAACGCCGCGATGTGTGTGATGTGGTGCCGTGATACATACTGTAATTGTTCAAATCCAATTTATTAAATGAATCGATAGATTTTAATGAACAAGTAACCCCACAGTCTCATTACGCCGCTCCGAATGACGAGCAGATACATCAATTCACTCGATGCTGGTCTATTTGCAGATTTCATCTTCTAATCTAATCTAATATAATCATATCTAACCTCCCTCAAACCCCCCACACTCTCTCACTGAAAAATCCTGAATGAGTGCATGAATTAGCATCCTGCACTGCCCTGAGATGAACTGTTTGTGTGTCACATAGCAGAAAATCAGGATGCAGCACTGTTGGGATAAAATCAACAATTACATGAAGAAAACGGACACTGTAGGAAAGAATTGCATATATGTGGCGTAAAAACGCAGACTGACAAAAACCCAGCTGCTCAAATTGAAAGTTGAAATTCAGAAAGCATGAACTGTTACAAGAAATCTAAATGCCTCCTTCTCAGCAAGACCACAGACTACAACACCATCTGGTGGCAAATGGAGGAACGGGCGTAATAATTTGGGTTTATCTCAGTGCAGCATATGCATGAAGCAACTTTTCAAAGCAGCCGCAAGCGAGACTTTCTGCAGAAACGCAACAGATTCTGCTCAAGAGGATTTTCTCAGCAGCGGAAAATCTGAAGGCGTGTGTCTCGAAGTGATGCTAGCCTCAGCTGGCTGGATGTGACAGTTGCCCCCTCCATGTGGTCAAAGTCAAATCACAGTGATTGTTGACTCCAGACATGAGCGTCCTAACCCTGCCTTCCAGCCCAGCAGGCGGCCTCCTCCTGCACACCTGCTCCCTGCCACAGATAGCACATGTAGCTAAGTATTTTTTTTTGCTTTGCTGTTCATTGTGTGTCGACTCCCCCTTTTTTGCACACACACACACACACACACACACACACACACACACACACACACACACACACACGCACACACACTCCTTGTGCGGATCTGTCTGTCAACGCAGCGGTCCAGCCCGGCTCTCCTCGCTGCCTGACTGACCCATTCATCTCCTGTGGGGGCTGTAATGAGCTGACCCTCCCCATTTGGACCGACCTGACAGAGAGAGATTACTTTAAAGTCTGCATGGATTTTTCTCCCCTGTCCCCTCCTCCCCATTCCTCTCCCCTGAAAGTGGTTAATTCAGAGTGCATTAATGAGGAGCGATGGATAACACACTCTTCTTTTAATTACCTTCCAGCGGAGTTCTTCAGGGGAGGTCTGGTGACTCCCATCCGACGCCGGCCTGTTTGTTTGCTTTGCTTTTTACCAGTTGCAGTCCTTCATCTGTTTTGTAGTCAGAATAAATTATAATGAAGCGCCGATGGGTCGGAGATACTGTACATTAAGGAGACAAATAACAGGATTAGCAGCAAAAAGAAAAAAAAAGACTTTCATGAAAATGGTCTCGAGGTTATTGGACAAACATTGATTTAGTTAATTATTAAATGTTGTACAAAAAACAGCCAGTGGAACACATTGTGAGGAGAATCCTGTGTTCTGTTTTAAAGAAGCATGATTGATGCTCCAGGCAGATAATGACAATAATTCTACATATTATTATAATTACAGCGTGCAATGTGGAATAATTGTTCTGGAGCAACAAGGGACTGCTTCCCCCCCCGAGGAAACTCCATCAGACACAATCTGAGAACTAAGAGGAAGTAAGATTTTAAAAAATAAACCCCGATCTTGTTTGTTGATGAGGAAAAACTTAAAGTCAAAAGCTCCTCATAGAGTGTTCGTGTCCATCGTCCATCGTGATGGTTCTTGGCCTCATAGCTTGCTCATTACTAACTCATGCAGGCCTCATCTTAAACCCTGAAACTGTAAAAGAACATGATTGGTTCTCTTGGAAGATGACAGTCTTTCAAACAAACAAGCCACTCTCAGTCAGTCAAGTGGATGCATTTCTGTTTTTGTGAAAGTAAAAGAGAACAAACTTGCTTCTGTCTGTAACTGTGCACCTGCTGGGGACCACTCCGTCCCTTTACTTCTGCACTCCAAGCTCCTATTTGTGCAAAATCTCAGGAGACTCCTACGTGTCAGACGGTGGACTTTAAGCTCTTGGAAATTATTCTTTCAGTTACAGGCAGCGACCGTCTCCAGTTACAGCTACAAAAAACAGCCGAGCATCAACTGCCTTTTGCTGTGAGTCGTTCAGTGATGTGATTCGTGCACCCGTTGGCCAACGCAGACGACTTGTGCTACTATAGGTTTTAAAAGTTTTGGTGCGAGAGGAGCCAGCGATGCTAGAATTAAGGTTTTAGTCCTGACTGAAATCCCATCAGGAACCCGTGGACTGTGCTGAAGAAACAAGTCTGTGTCAGAAAGTTAACAGTTGAACCGCACCAGAGGAGTGGTTAAAGATCCAACCAGGAGCTCGTGGACGGCCACCAAAAGCACCTCGCTAAGGGGAAAATGACCAAATGACATTTAAACAAGTAGAAGCTTTGCTGTATGTGTATTGTTGAACCAGCAGATTTTGTCACATTTCCAGAACAACAATAACAAACATATGAAAGAACCAAAGTGCATGATTGTTGCAGGAGATTCAGTCATCCAATTAAATTCAAACTTAAGACTGCAAAGAGTATGTAAGCTTTCGTTCACAACTGTATATGTAGAGCATCTTTATAGGCTTTTAAAAAGACAATTTCTTCCTCTTTTAGAACAAATGATTTTACTTTTAATCAGTGCAATAGGTTCAGCTGATAATAGTAACTCTGCATCCATGCAGACGACTGAGGCCTTTTCTTACTGTATACATTTAAATGTCCTTAAATTCTAGCAGAATCTGACTCCTTTAACTCACTCCTGACTGATCTTCTTCATCCACTCTGACTACATGAGGTGCATGTTGTCCCACTACCACATGGTTTCTGCTCCCTGA